AGGTAAATGTAGAAAAGGCCGAGACTTAGAAGTGTGTGTATGTGACGGGTGTGAGATAACAAATGATTCCTGGGAAGTCTGGACACACATCTTCCCTCTTCTGACCTGAACACAGTGCTAACAAGGTGTCCAGACATCAGATATTGGAGGGGAGAGGTCTGTACTGCTGCGGACGTCTTGCCTGTATATTGCACAGCGGGTGTAAGGAACAAAAAACAGAAACACAACACAAAATAATTGTTGATGTGAAGCGATGCCAAGGTGCCGGCAGAAGCAGCTGGTTTGGCTGTACAAGGTGAAGCTCAAGAAAAGGGTTTTTTTGAGCTTCAAATCAGTAATACATAATTCACATTTTATACAACGGACCCATTTTATTGTATCTGAAGGATCTGAGGATGCTGAAAACTGAAACTTATTCAAACATTTGATAACAATGAGTTCTCTACTCTTGCAGTGGTCAACGTTTCCATCTTGGGGTGATAACATCACCTGCTGTGTGAAAGTCTTTTTCTACTCTAACAGTTTTGGGTGGACAAGTAGATGTCAGACTAAGCCAACGGCATCTTAGGCCACTGGTCCAGTATACACACCCAGCAGCTCAGGAGCCATGGCTTAGTCTATCGAGGGCCATCAGCAGGTCATGTACTATCTGACCACCTTCTCCTGACACTGGAAGGTTCCTCAATGTGACATGGTGGCTTTGAAAACTGCCGTGACGGCTGATATTGCTGATGGCTCTGCTGCTCTTGTCAGTGCTGTCGGGGTCACAGGAAGCCCAGCTGGGGGGGTCTGACAATGAAGTGAGGAGTAGACAGTGACCTCATACTTGGGAGCGGACGTGGAGCCATCTGCTTAGTGAATTTTTCCAAAGTTGGGCACAGATTCTGGTTCCATAATGTCCTTATTTGGCTTTTATTTCATAAGCCCGAAATAAATTCACCATTTTGACTTTATAGAAAGAGTCCAAAAGTGTTACTAACATGGAGCCATCTGTTTTATTAATATAAACAGTGTGTCTGTTGCTCCATAGACCAGGGGGTATGCAGTTTTACATTCTGTCCATATGGTCTGAGTTTAAGTCTAAAGGACATAAAGTAATCTGTCATCATTGTCCTCAACTGCGTCACTGCTGGCGTGTCAGTTGGACAGGAGATCAGCCGCTTTCTGACGGTGTGACCATAGCAATCTCCTCTCCGACTGAGAATATTGAAGCTGTTGGATCAGCACGGCAGCCAAAAAACTGGCATCTTTCAAAGGGGCGTACAACAATGGCATTCTCTATATTGTCTCAGTTGAACTTATTGTCATAACTTTCTACTAATATATAGAAGATGAGGTGCTGCGCTCCTACTAAATGTCCTCTGCCCCCATCCCTTTCTCACCGTTACTGCAGAATATGATGGAGAACTTATGATCAGAAAAGGACTGGGCTCTGTGGGCATCAGCAGCAGATAATGAAGGTGTCATTTGTGTTGTGCACAGAAATCTGGTCTGAAGATGGTAAGTTGGATGGGCAGTGAGTTTTTGCAGTTATCTACAGCTTCTATGACAGGGCAGCGTGATGACACCTTCTACCCCTTCTGAGAGCTGAGGCCCCCAAGTGAGGGACATTATAGCCATGGGTTATCCTTTCCCTTTATACAATGTACAAGGCTATGGACTCTTTATCCATTTAGGTGGAAAAAACTTCCCATTTCAGAAGTTACCACTCAGAGTCAACAGCAAAGTGTCAAAGGCAATATTTGTCCTCCATCTAATACCCCAGAGTAGGGACATTGATTCGCGAGCAGCCCACCTAAAGAAGCCTCCCTACAAAAGCAAATAAGTGCTATTACTAGAGAGTCAGGGGTGCTCATTATATTAGTGTGCCCAGGTTCCAAAAGGTCTCCCTCATAATCCCCCCACCTCCATTTGGGGTCAGGATGTATAAATAAGCCCCTTGTTCCCTCACCATGGGGACAAATAGCTGCAAGATACCCTCCCAATGTTAAAAGGCATGTGGCCTATAATAACGTCAGTTAGCCAATAACGGTTATCACTTAAACTCCAATCTGTATCACTTGATCCAAACAGTTCCCTTTTTCTTTCTGCATCTCATATGTGGAGGACATCCTTATATTGTTGTTATTTAATGTTCTTCCAAATTCTTCTCATTTCTCCCTTTTTTCCTCCCACGCCAAAAATATATCATCAATGTAACGCACCCATACTGATATACACAGAGTGGCCGGATTATTATATACACCGAGTGGCCGGATTATTATATACACTGAGTGGCCGGATTATTATGACCAAGAGCAGCTCATTGTTAAAGTGTTTAAAGACCGGACTGTCAGCCGAAAATCTGGGTCTGAACGTGCGAATTGTGGCCGTCAGCGACTAGTCAATGTTGGGGCAGAACGGGGGAGGGGCAACACTGGTACAAGGCAACAGAAGGGCGACAGTGCCGTGTCACATTCCTCGCATCACCTTTCACCATCTCGTGGAGTCACCAGGCGGCCCAACGAAGTACTGATGGGGGGAGGTGGGGGTCATAATAATCTGGCCACTCAGTGTATACATTATAGAATCACTCAACTCCTCCTCAAACAACACATTTTCTTCCCATCGACCTAAAAATACATTGCAAAGGGCGGGCCATAGTAAGTCCCCATTGCGGTGCCTTTTGCTCTTTCTATACGACATCCATGAAAAGTAAATAATTATGTCTGAGGACAAAATGTCATCATTCCAGGAAGAGCTTAGGATTTTATTGAATATGAAAACCTCTTTTTCTAAACAAAGTGACGCACAGACTTCTAATCTGAGATTGTGCTCAATGTTCCTATAAAATGCATCGATATCTAGACTTGCTCGCAGATTCTTCTCCCCAGAAGGTAAATCCTTCAATCGTGTTATAGAATTCCTGGAGTCTTCCGTGTGGGAAGGTTTTCATGGATGATCTCAGAATTGTGTCTCCATACTAATGCTTTCTGTAAGATTTTGATTCCCCGAACACAAGAGGACGTCCTGGTGATGTTCCCTGATTTTTAGGTGTAAAATGTCACAATTGTTGGATTCTGATATAAAGCCGTTTTTAGTTGCTTTGTTCATTTTTTTAGGATCTTTCTGTAATATACAAAAATGTACAGTATTTAGTTACAGCAATACACACTGTGCTGTTTGGGGAAGTTGGCACAAATGGCGAGCACTTAAGGAGCAGTCTTGAAGCCATTGTAACATAAAAAAGACCGTTTTTTTATTGCTTCCAGAACAGAAACGAGCTTTTCGTCGGCAATACAACATGGAGTCTGCTTATATTTCAGCAAGGAGTCAATAACTGTATAACAATGTCTCACCAACTCAGCATTGTCACATATACTCCATGTAACGCTTCCACACATCCCCGGTGTGTCCCAGGCTCACTGAGCCTCCTTGTTTGATTCCCTGGTGCCTCCAGCACACACACAGCCTCCTGGCCTCCACTCTGGCTTCCGGGTGGAGTCCGCCTGACTTCTGGACACAACCTGTCCCTCTTCCCAGCAGTAGAGCCCTCATGTGCCTCCAACCCACACCAACTCCTCCATTGAGCTCTGGTCTGAGCTCTTAATGAGGCTGCTCTCAGCCACCTGATGACTGGCAACACCTGACCCCAGGACTGGAGATTTCATCCCACCCTGAACTCTCCAGAAATCTCCAGAGATCCAGATCCCGGCTACAATCCGAAAAACTGGAAGAAACTGAAAGGCCGGCTTCTTCCCGGCAAATCTATTAGTATTCTGGAACCTCTCTGGCTGAGAGTCCTGGGTGCCTGTGTCACCAGCATCTTGCATGGCATTGCCACAACACATAATGAAATATTTCTCTCTATCCATCGGGACTACATTCCCACCATTAGCTGCAGGCGTGATTCCTGTATTAGGATTGGATTTAAGATCCCTTAACGTCCTTCCTTCATTACTAGATACATTATTTCTAATCCTCATCAAGCCGTTTGTTTTATCCAATAGGAGGAGCTCTTCCTCCTCCAGATTCACAAATAATCGGATATCCTGCAGAAGAGGGAGTTGTTTTATTTTCACGATTAGACCGGTACAAGGACCCAAAACTTCCTCTTCAGTTGTCTCATTTTCTTTTTGTAGGGGTTCCAGTCATCTCAAGGTTTAGAACCCTCTGTTGTTAATCTCTTTTCATTTTCCTCTTTTGTTTCTTTGACATTTTCTTTCAATAGACAAGAAGGAGAGGTGCACCCAAATGAAAATGTCAAAACCTCCATTTCTTACAAACACTTAGCGGTCACTAATCACTGACTGCTAGTACCCGCTCTCCATCCTCACTCGCGGTCACAGGAGGCTGAGCAAGCGGTGCGGGGAGGAGATCTTGATCTTCTCTGACAGCTGACTCCTCCCCCTGCACCGCCGGCCTGCCCTCCTGTGAGAACTGTCCCACACCGCCGCTCTCCTGATCTGTCACAGGAGGCTGAGCAAGCGGTGCTGGGAGGAGAGCTTGATCTTCTCTGACAGCTGACTCCTCCCCCTGCACCGCCGGCCTGCCCTCCTGTGAGAACTGTCCCACACCGCCGCTCTCCTGATCTGTCACAGGAGGCTGAGCAAGCGGTGCTGGGAGGAGAGCTTGATCTTCTCTGACAGCTGACTCCTCCCCCTGCACCGCCGGCCTGCCCTCCTGTGAGAACTGTCCCACACCGCCGCTCTCCTGATCTGTCACAGGAGGCTGAGCAAGCGGTGCTGGGAGGAGAGCTTGATCTTCTCTGACAGCTGACTCCTCCCCCCGCACGTGTAAACTTTTCATTTTGTTTCTCTGAATTTTTTTAGCCACATTTAACACAGGTAACTATTTGTTTTTCATTCATATTTTAATTTTTGAAGATAAAGAAAACCTATCATATAAAAGAAAACATGCTCCGTCCTATGACTGACCTGACAGCGCCATCAAATATACAATAATTAGTGTAGAAAAATGTTTAGTATATATAATCAGATATCAATGAATGATGGGACAATTTATTGCGATCGTCTCTCCATTAAATACGTTTTAGAGTTCAGTTCCGGTCTCCATAAGATGATGTAACATTTCGGAAGGAATATGCACCCTAAGACTCCGGCACTGGAGCTCAGTATGGCGAAGATCTCCACAGCCACCATGTACTTCCCTCTGGTGCTCAGATAGGCCGGGATCATGGCAATCCACACGCTGCAGAACACCAGCATGCTGAAGGTGATGTACTTGGCCTCATTAAAACTGTCCGGTAATGTCCTCACTATGAAAGCCAGAACAAAACTCACAGCTGCCAGAAACCCCATGTAACCAAGAACAGAATAAAACCCCATAACTGACCCTTCATTACACCGAACAATGATCTGGTCCTGATAAGAATTGGTGTCCAGATCCTGGAAGGGAGGAGAGATAGACAACCAGATGATAGAGATTATAACTTGAATGGAGGAACATAAGATGACTATACAGGTAGAAAGTTTTGGCCCGATCCAGTGTTTCCACAGACTGCCAGGTTTGGTGGCCTTAAACGCGGCACAAACCATGATGGTTTTCCCAAGGACACAAGAGATGGCAATCGTGAAGAGGATTCCGAATGAGATTTGGCGTAACAAGCAGGTGATGTCACCAGGACGTCCGAGGAAGAAGAATACACAGAGGCAGCTCAGCATGATGGAGACCAGAAGGGTGAAGCTCAGGTTCCTGTTGTTGGCTTTTACAATGGCCGTGTCTTGGTGTGAGATAACAACCAATAATATCAGTCCAGTCATAGCGCACAGAATGGAGGAGGACGAGGCAAAGATCACTCCTATAAGGTCAGAGTAAGACAGGAAATCCAGCAGTTTCAGGACACACCGATCCTTCTTCTCATTGGGCCATTCATCATATCTGCATTGCTGGCAGTTTTCACTGTCTGGAAGATAAAACAGGAGAAATAATAAATGATGTATAGTTCATATGAATCTTTAGAATGCCGGTTTATCAGCTGTTTGTATGGAGTTAATAATAAATATCAATTGATTTTCAGCATAAATATCTTCGTACATAATGAATGTTTCATCAGTGTGTAAGAAGAAGTGTCCGGGGGAAATATTATTGCCTTGTAGGCTAGATGATGACATCCTTAGTATCTGCTGATAGTCTCTGGTTTTGGAAGTTGCTCTGACATAGAAGTACATTATTTAGATATATTTTATATAATAGATTCTTTAAGTTCTGAAATATGACTTTGCTAATCGAATTATAAAAACCAACAACCGGAGCTCAAAATCACAAGAACAAGGACTCAGGGGGCTGAATAAGTTGTGGAATGAACTCTTCCGGGACTGAGACCTCCATCAGCTCTCAAACTGAGAAACTAAGAAAAGATTTCCAATAATTCTACCAATCAAACGTGGGGAAAGCTTCATTATGCTGGAAGTTGGAGTGGTCCTCAAAGTACACAGAGAACATCCAGAGCACAAGTAGAGACACCGATCACTGCATTGTAAATGGTGTTTCCCATTAAATATCTGATCAATGATTATTCATTATAGACATGTATGGAAGAAACATCATCTGTGATAGTATAAATGTCCATATACCGCTGACATTGGATATCTCCCCCTCCGAGCACTGGACACAGTCATAGCAGCAGGAGTGGATTATGGACCTCGGGACTTTCCTGGTTCCTGGCAAACAGTTCTCTGAACATTGAGACTTCGGAACCTACAAGTAGGGAAAGAACCAACAGAGATTTACATGCTGTGCCTACTTTTCTCTGCGCTCCTACCTGAACAATGTTTACAGTCACACCAGAGAAACAAACAGACCTACGGTAGATACCTTGTGTTAAGAGGATTGTGGAACCATGAAATGTAATTTTTGTGTTAAATTCTTTGCAGATGCTTTTTAGTCTTTACACATGTGTCATAAGCTATAATGGGGTCATCTAAACCTTTGCTGGGTGACTGCAGTGCCGGAAGTATACAGGAATTGTTGGGTGACAATGACTGCATTCAGATGGCACCTGGTCAGTGGCTGTTCCCACCAACCCACTCTAGGTACGCCACTGGTTACAGCACATAGATACCAGCCACCAGGCTAGACGGATTATGTTGGTATAGTGAGATTATTTATCAATTATATAAATAAAAGAAATTACATTTCACCTCTAAATGTGTTTATAATAATTCATTTATTTTCATGACATTAGTGGACGTCGGCTTTCTCTTGGCATAAATAGCACAATCACTGAAATAATTATTGTCCATGTGTTGCTCTATTAATCTGAGACTGAGACATAATACGCCAGTGTTTCCTTCATACAACAAACGGTAAATCTCTATGCAATGGCTTTATTCCTCATTCAGTGACAACACATTCCTCACAGGACATGTAGAACTGCTGCTATATAGCAGCAACACGGACTACAATGACAGTCAATTCATACATGTTACAGACAGATATTTCAGTCTTTCTGGCCGTCTTCAAGGCAAGCTATGGTAATATGGCTTCTATCAGGTCCAGCTTTGGGGAAAAGAAGATTAGATAACCAATCAGGTAAGGGTGTGCAGGCCAATAGGATCCAGAATCACCCCCCAATAGATAGGTGCACGGGGCAGCATCACCTTACATAGTCAATCAGGTTGAAAAAAAGACACAAATCCATCGAGTCCGACCAATAGAGAAACAAATAATAATTGATAGGAAACCTCTAGATACAGAACACTCAGCCTGCTGTTACCCAAAGTTGAGCCAAAGGAAGTCACAAAGCCTTATAAAGCACGGTTCACTTGGTTCCAACAGGGGGAAAAAATCCTTCCCGATCACATAAGACATTCAGATCCTCCCTGGATCAACCATCTCTGGTGTTATAACCAATAAAACATTCATATCCAGTTATACTCCCGATCTTTAGAAACAACTAACTAAGCTGGCTAGTCTCTGAGGGAGTCAATTCCACATGTTCACATCTCTTACTATTAAGAAACATTTTTGTATATAGAGGTCAAACCTCTTTTCCTGCAGACACAAAGAGGTCCCATCTTGTCCTCTGCAATGACCCTTTGTTAGATCACTATATGGAGCATGTATGTACTTACACACGGTGATCATATCCCCATTATTCACCTCTTCTCAGGAGAAAACAAATTCAGCTCACCTAATCTCTCCTCATACTGGAGCTCCTCCATGGCCTTGTATCAGTTTAGTTGTCCTTCTCTAAACTCTCTCCAGTTCCACAACATCCATATTGTAAACTGGTGCCAAAAACTGAACTGCATATTCCAGATGACGTCTTAGTAATAACTTATAATGACAATAAGTTTTTACATGTGATTGCTTACATCATTTTGGAATAAATAGTTATAGTTATATCATTGTGTGTGGTCTACCAGCAACTAGACCAATGCAGTCGATTCTTCACATCTCATCCTCCTCTATTCTCTCTTCTCTCTCCTCCTGAGGGGCTGGGATAGTTGGAAGGAGCTTCTGTATCCCTCAGGAGCCATTTAAAGCCTACTACACCTTTAAAAACACCTTCATTTACCTTTCCCCAAGTATTCTAATGCATTTTGACAAAGTTGTACCATTTTCCTGAATCCCAATTTTCAGCAAAATTTTGGGAAACTTTTAATTCCTCTCATCCCTACACATGACCCTCTCCACCATTCTGGTCCCTTCCTCACACCCATTTATCCAAGACTTCTCACAAGTGTCTCCCTTTCCTCGATCACCTTCCTGCATTCCATTCAGCCCTCGAACCATATAAAAGTACCCTCAAAACCAACCCACCTCTTCAGACAAGCCTACAAGCAATGACTCTTTATTCATAATAATAAAGGAATGATCCGCATAGCTCTGCCCCATGTGACTTCATGAGGAATAGACCATTGTATTTGTGTTCTAAGAAGTCTTTTTCTAGTGGAGTTAGGGTTAGAATTTAGGATTATTATTGGCCTCCTTCACCTAATGTGACTGGTTATCTTATCTCAGTGTAATAACAGCTAAAGTGTATCTAAACTTAAACCTAATTATGTAATTTAGGATAGAGTAGAAAAGAATTAGAATGAGAAACCCAAATTATCATTGGTGATTGTAACATGAGGTGAGGAGAAAACTTCCAATGTGATACCTGTGCTGATGACAACTGTCTAAGAGTGGATTTCCCTCACTTTAAAGAGAGTTCCACTTACGTCTTTTCATGTCTACAGGAAGTAACGGAAAATCTAAAAATAAGCTAAAAGATGAAAAATTGGCTTCAAACTCACTTTAATTCTTATGGAAAGTAAACAATGTATCTAACCTTATTGATTCCACTTTTCCACACAATGTCCTCTTCCCTGATCAGGAAACTCTGCTGGGATCCATTTATGTCGATTTTGCCGACTTGTCTTACAAATAGAGAACCGTTGTTCAAAGACCTCCAACTAAACATTTTGAACGACGTGACGAGTTCCATGTTTTCCTCAAACATTAGGTCACCCTTCAAGCTCCTCTGATTTTTCATCCAATAATAAAGCTATTAAATGAGAAAAGAGAAAGTAGCCGGTGACCAGACAAGAGATTCAGGGAGAAGACATTCATTGTGAAGACTTATCTTATCCAATAGCCCTGCAAGGGAAAGGAGCCACCCTAAGGCAGGATATCAGGCCGGTGCTCAGGGGACCTTCTGCTTCTCCAGGAAACTAAAACTTTTCAGCATCAAGGAGCAATATCCATTGTAAGAGATTTCATCAGCATCTCAGCATTAGTCAGTTCTGGAGAATTGTAGGGATAATAAGCACGCTATTGTCAGGCAAAGGGTTTAGGAATCCAGGCACTTTTATGAGGGAAGGTATATCACTTCATGTTGACTTATCTCACTCTACAATCCAAGATCACCACAAGCTCGCTCCTATCACCAACGTACTGCGCCAGCATAACGTTCCCTACAAATGGGGATATCCTACGAAACTACTCATCTCCAACCAAGGGAGGACCCTCCTCATCGCCTCCACAGAACCAGGAACAATGAGGTGAGGAGAAAACTTCCAATGTGATACCTGTGCTGATGACAACTGTCTAAGAGTGGATTTCCCTCACTTTAAAGAGAGTTCCACTTACGTCTTTTCATGTCTACAGGAAGTAACGGAAAATCTAAAAATAAGCTAAAAGATGAAAAATTGGCTTCAAACTCACTTTAATTCTTATGGAAAGTAAACAATGTATCTAACCTTATTGATTCCACTTTTCCACACAATGTCCTCTTCCCTGATCAGGAAACTCTGCTGGGATCCATTTATGTCGATTTTGCCGACTTGTCTTACAAATAGAGAACCGTTGTTCAAAGACCTCCAACTAAACATTTTGAACGACGTGACGAGTTCCATGTTTTCCTCAAACATTAGGTCACCCTTCAAGCTCCTCTGATTTTTCATCCAATAATAAAGCTATTAAATGAGAAAAGAGAAAGTAGCCGGTGACCAGACAAGAGATTCAGGGAGAAGACATTCATTGTGAAGACTTATCTTATCCAATAGCCCTGCAAGGGAAAGGAGCCACCCGAAGGCAGGATATCAGGCCGGTGCTCAGGGGACCTTCTGATTCTCCAGGAAACCAAAACCTTTTAGCATCAAGGAGCAATATCCATTGTAAGAGATTTCATCAGCATGACTTATCTCACTCTACAATCCAAGATCACCACAAGCTCGCTCCTATCACCAACGTACTGCGCCAGCATAACGTTCCCTACAAATGGGGATATCCTACGAAACTACTCATCTCCAACCAAGGGAGGACCCTCCTCATCGCCTCCACAGAACCAGGAACAAGCCTCTTTAACTACCTCCCGGCCGGCCGTTCTTTTACTTCTTTACGCCTTTAGATGTCCGCTCAGCCAAGCCCACGGCGCGTGTAAGTGGGAAACACCGACAATTTAAAAACAGACACCCATGCCTGTTAACATACAAGTGTTTATATGAGCTGCCGGCCCGTGCCCCCCCCTCCCTCCGTGGCCCCCCTCCTGCTGTCACGCTGGTCCCGGGCTCCGCTGTGCCCAGTGCGAGCCCGGGACCAGCATAGTGCCTCTCTGAGAGGGGATCAGAGGGAGGTCGGTACACGATCTCTCTCCGGTCCTCTCTCTGCTGCCAGAATGCGGAAGTGACGTATATTACATCACTTCCGCATTCTTGTGTCACTCTCCAGCTTCAGACGCTGGAGAGAAGCTGATGAAGCAGATTGATTTAGTTGCCCTTCTAAACTAAACCAATTAAGGTGATGGAGGACCAAAGCTGTGAGACAAGGAGGAGGGGAGGACCAAAGCTGTGAGACAAGGAGGAGGGGAGGACCAAAGCTATGAGGCAAGGAGGAAAGGGAGGACCAAAGCTATGAGACAAGGTTGCTAAATCTAAATTTGCTCATGCTGGAAGTGAGGAGATTAAGGGGGGACATGATTTTCATGTACACATTAGTTTATGTATCACTGGATGCTGTAAGGGAATAGGATGTGATAGTTACATCTGCAGACATAGGAGTGCACCTCACCGGCGATGGACTCAATGTCTGTAACTTTGGTAATCATAGTGGTATAGAGATAACTTTGGGCTTGTGTCTGGTCAGCAACATGGTGTGCGGGTGGCTGTGTGCTGCCCCCAGTAGCTGTACCGACTTCTGTCACAGCCTATAGTATGTCTCTGCTGTGCTAATTCTCCAGACATCTACCATGTTTGCTCATGCGTACTCAAAGTGGGGCTTGCATTTAAAATTCAAGGTCCACTTGGGCTGTGTTGCCCCTTTATAAAAAGCAGCATGAATGTTAGGATTAGGGTTAAGGAGGGAGTTATATAGTAGACTTAGCTCTCTCCAGCTTTTGCCCGCAGCACCTAGGAGGGGAAAACATTGCATTCCTTCCAGCGAGATCTGAGGAATGTAGAAGACTCCAAATCCCACTGACATTCTCTCTTGAGATTTGGAGGGTTCATTCATTTCTTGGGATCTCATTGGCGGAAGGATCATGTCACCTCCTGCACCAACAAAGTTGGAGACGAGTTGAATATAATATCTTGTTTTTCCCTACATGTGTTTTTTTTT